CTTGCAAAAGTGGACGACGATTAACGTTTGAAGAGTTTCTTGAAGAGACGGGTCATCCTAACGTCAGCGATGGTCCTAAGAAACCGAAGAAGGCGTTCAAGCTGACTAGCTTTTTAAGGGGCTTGGGGAAAGGCCTTGCTGCACCCTACCAAAACACTGATATCGCCAAGAGGTCGGTAATTTCTACACTCCTTTTCACTGGTCAAATGTGTGCCTTCTTTGGAATGCTCTTTTATACTCAGGTCATTCGAGGTTCAGTGTACTACGTCGCCATATTAAACGCTTTAACCTCAATTCCTGGAACTCTGATTTCAACTCTTCTTTATTGGAGAATTAAAAGTCGTAGGAAGCCTCTCTTAGTCCTCTACGGCATGTCAGTTGCAATTCTTCTCATCGGTGGTCTCTACACAGTGGTGGGTAAGCCCGAGTCAGAAATCCCCTTGATTGTGTGCTGCAACATCACTTTAGTTTTGCTCGGAGCTTCTTTGAACATGCTTTTCATTTACACACCTGAATTATTCCCCTCGAGCATTCGGAGCCAAGGATTTGGGAGTGCGACTGGTCTTGGAAGAGTCGGTAGCATGCTGTGCAGTTTTATTAATCAACTTGATTTGCAACTGGGTCATGGTGTCCCCGTGATAATCTATGGAGGTGTTCTGATACTCCAATTTGTTTTGACCTGCTGTTTACCTGACACTGATGGTGAGAACCTTGCAGATGTTGTCCATTCGGAAGGGGATAAGTGAAATCTCTGAGTGGAGTTTGCTAGTTACCTCCTGTGCTGTTGATATTTTCTTAATATTTACTTTTTGTCAATTTTGATACTTTCAGAAGTGATAGTATGTGACATTTTTACCGCCTAATTGAGTTAACGTTATAAATGTACGATTCACCAATTGCTTTTTGAACTTTGTCTACCAATTTATTATTGTTTATGTTTTCGCTTTGAATGCATGCTTGAGAGTTTGTGTTCTATATTACCCCATTAATGAAGCTGTTTAATCATGGTGTATTTGCAATGTGCAATTTAGTGCCTTCAAATAGAAATTTCTCTTGATGAGTTGTATTTCACTCGGCATGAAGAAGTAAATCATTCTAATCAACCATTTATTTGTAACGAGTGGCAGGCTTTCTGTTAGTTATTATCAGCCCATTTAGTTGACTTCGGCGTCACAGACATGAGGGGGAGGGAGAGAGCCAAAATGTCGCAAAAACTCGAGAGGTGTTACAGAAGAGTAATTCACAGAGGTTAGGAAGACAGTCACAAAAGGGGGAGAAAAGGTAGGTGAGGTGAGCACTGTGAGAGTTTTCAAATATGGCATGGTAGCTTGAAATCAGAAGTCAAATGTCGGTGCATGAACTTTTTGCCATATGAGTATACGTTGACTAGGGTGCACCACGTGAAGGTAAGTCTATCACGCAACCCTTCTAATTAGACATTGGATAAGTGGTTGTGGATGAACTTGAGGATTCTAGTTAGTTCACATCTATCCTTGAGGAAGCCTTAGTCAACCTCTTCTAGACAAAGCAGTAATCACTCCGCAGATGAGTATTTGAATGTCTTTGACAAGAGAACCTGCTTACACCATCCAGAAGAAATCGCCACTCAGAGGCATTGAGGATTCAGCATGCTTTAGGTACTCTGCTGATTGATTCAGTCAATATTTGCTCAATATTGTCCGAGTCAAGTTCGATAAGGGACTATGTTGTGATCAACGGTATTAAGGCCAAACTAAGTGGCCTTGCACCCAAGGTCAGCAAAACAGCTATTAGTTGTCATTCAAACTTGTTTTAGATCTATTCATTTGCTTCACATTTTTGCAATTGGCCTTAATTTGCAATATTTACTAGAAATGTTAGGTTGGAATTCTGTTGGAATCTTCTATTCTCACATAATAGCACGAACAATGTGAAATTTGTTTTGTTCTATAATTACTGGGGAAGTAATCTCAAATTCTGCGTGATTTTCCTCAAACTTCACTGCTCCCTTTGATTGGGTGCTTTCTAGGAATAGTGATCGTAGAAGTCTCTCAAGTGGCCACAAATCCCAACATAGTAGAAATCGAATGCTATTTGTGACTTAGTATTAGCCTAAATCAACTCCCATCTTGAGTCGTTCAAACAGACCAAATTTAGCATCTTATGGAACCACTTATGCTTTATCGTCCTAACGTTAAATTGTTACCATGCAACTTGTAGAAAAGGTTTTTCTTGTTTCCTTTTACTTTTGAGCCTTACAATCAAAGAGCCCTTATCAACCCACCCACCACTAGAGATTAATTAAATTGAAGGAAATATTGGCCTATCTGGCCACGAATTCCAGAGTCTTGAACATGGACTAGTGTTTCTGATTGGGGTGATATAGTCGAGGATCGAAAGCTGGCCTTTCCACTGCTTCTAAGACAACCACAATAATAAGTGACTTACGATAAAATTGGGACGATTAAACATACGCCCACCCAATTCAGATAAATTACATTAAATAGAAGGTACCTGGAGGGGCTTTAAAACACGTCTACTTAAATAAAATACACAAAAGCACTGTGACCGTAGTTTGACAGACGACCAATAAAGTAAAGGAGGAAGTAAAGAGAACCTTCCCGCATGTGTTCTGAGCTAAAACATGGCACAACTTCTAATCAATTCCGACAACTACCGCAAACATGAGGCAGTTGCATTAATACGTTTCAATAACTGTCACCAAGTGATGAGAGTAGACGTGGTCATAACTGCCAACATCCACGGCTTTTTTCGTGCGGTTGTCTACTTTTCATACTTATTCAACTAACCACTTAACAATTATGTACATTTTAGTCGATGCAAACCAGATAGATAAATCGTAACTACAGTATAATTAGAGTTACATAAAATCACTGGATTCTATAACAAATAGTTTCTGGAATGCTCTTTCGCAACCCACTTGAACGATTCATTTTCATTTAAATTTATTAAGCGTGTGTACTCCTTGTCACATAGAACGAATATCTACCCCTGTAGTTTTGCACCGCTTCTAATGCCAAGGAAGGGTTTTGCACAGTACTCGCAACCATATGCACCAACTAATTGAATTTCAATTTTCCGAATCTATTGATTTATCATGTTATCAAGATGAAATGCGATTACGACTTGCTAGAAACTGTATTCTTTTAATCGAAGTAATGTTTCCCTTCTATTGTCATCGAAGTGGCTGAACTATTTTCGTCAGCATTATTCTCATTCAGCTTGCCGATTGTAAAATCGAGAAATATATTATAATAATTGACCATTTATTGTTCTGTCACATCTCACCTTATTCTGCAAACTGCATATGCCTCCTATTTGACGTCTGTTGACGAAGTCAGTGTATTGGGCCTTGACAACATTAACTTCGATTCCATGTAACTGCCATGTGACCAACTTTCTATCTAGACTCGTCATTTGCTGATGCATGTCACAACTGGTTGGAGAAGAGAACTTACTTCGCTTTGACATTTATTTGCAAGATAGAAGTCCCCGAAAGCAAATTGAGAATGGGATGCGTGTTTGAGGCACAGTCCCCGCAATGCCAACTCCAATTCAGGTGATGACGATGCCAGTATCGTGAGGACTAACCTTGAGAACCATCCACACCGAATTAAGCGATGAATTGAACCATTCAATTTAGGTTAAAGCCTGGTGAAATTGTGAAATTTGATATGACAGGTCGGATATGAAGGATTGAGTAATCCAGTCTCATTGAGACAAATTGGGTATAAAATGCGATCATTAAACATAGACCCCCCCCCCAACTCAATCTAAGCCAATTTATGATTGAAAAAGTCACCAAGAGGACTGACAACAATAAGAAGGTAAATATTTCATTGAACGAAACTAATTAACTTTGCGTAATGAAAGACGAAATGTTGCAGAATTAAAGGTCAACATCCTCTGTGCCTGTCATTCATGAAAGGGAGGTTAAGTATCCCACATCACCCATCTCGACAAATTACTTTGCTTATGACTCTAACTCTTATGGGCATGGCGATGGATTGATGTTCCGCGAAAACGCCATATCATTAATGCAAATTTAGATCATTGTAGGGTTCCTATTCCCATGGCGCCAATATCCCATCTTCCATTTTCTCATAAATACGATATTTTTGAAGCCCTAGCAATGCCTTCAAGGCCATCAGCTGATATTTTATTGGTTGCCCAGTCCTTTGACAGCGAAAAAAAGTAATTCGGTTCACACCAAGTGCTATGGTACGTATAATACACGCAATAGGGCATTTGTTAAATGAACTTTAATATTACTACCAACACTATAATAGGTGGTCCGAAACCTTCATCGTGGATACATCCTCACAACTTCGCTACTGTTGGCTGGGTTTAATATCTCTCACTGTTCTTTACACTTGTGTCATTCTGCCAATGCGAACAGCCTTCACAAAGTTCCATGCCCTCTCCCCACCTACCTGGATGCTCTTTGTCTAATGCATTGACCCCCTCAACATTCTGGGCAATTGGGTTAGAAGCAGAACAGGGTTGGCCATAAATCTCAAGAATATATTCATCACAGCACCTACCTTAGTAAGTGCATGATCATAATGCTAGCAGTCGTCGGAATTGCTCATAAGTTCCCTCTATTGTGTGGTAAAATCTTCTAAATTCCTTTCAAGTTTATATGTCCAAGTAGAAAAAATAGTGTCGCTTGTGCAAAGAGGAAGAATGCCAGTGGGGCTATTAGCATCTTTGTTAGGCTACAAAATTTATCAAAATAAACGCCCAATTTGTCAGGAATGGTGTTGGACAATTGAGAACATTCGCTTTAGTGCCGATCATTGTTGTCCTGTAGGCAATTAATTTTAAATAAAAGTGTGAAGTTTAGAAATATAATTCGTCGCTAGAATGTATTCCTTGAATCAGATAGTAATTTTCTCTTACACGCATCAGAATTGGCTACCATATACATTCCCACTTCATTTCGAATAGTTGAGTTAAAATACAACGTTTAGACAAATCCATTGTTATTCACGATTTACAAGTGACTGATCCTTATTCGGCCAATTTCATCGGTCAATTAGGTATTTCAAAAACACGTTGTAGTGTCTGTTATTGCCCATTGAACGTGTACTATTGGAAGGGCATAAGTTGAAATAGCTGAGTGGTGGTCATCACATGCGCTGTCACAGATGTCATGTTTCCATCTAAAAAAGCTTGTAACATATTTGGCAATGGTTGCATTACTTCCGATGATAAAAGTGAATTGAGGAACTTAGTTTTGAAAAAAAATACATAGCCACATTCTTGTTCTTGAAATGTCATTCGCCTAAATTAAGATTAGCTGTAAATAAATGACGCTTTCTTGTATATCATGCGAAGGTCTAGGTGCGAAATGCGGATCTGAAAAACCTTTGTGAACTATTTTGGTGCTGCCCTGTTCGCTGATAGCTCCACCCTGTTTCCGCACTTTTTTAAACTACATGAGAATCCTATTTGAAGCCTGTGTAATTGAGAGCTGGAGGATGGTTTGTGATGGACAAAGCATCTATCTATTCAAATTTGGGGAGTTACATCTACATCTCTCCTAGTCAAAGGAAATACATGGGAGGAATTTCAAAGTGTCACGTGGTAGCCTAATTGAAGCAAATACGGACCAAGAATCACTGTTATGTCAATACTATCGGATCACAAGCTTTACCTTGTTCCATTAGCATTGTATTTTAAAGTTCAGCACAATATTTCTAGTCAACTGGTTGAACTGTGAACCTAACATAAATAAAGTGTG